CCACAGCGAATGCGATCTTAGCTGTCGGATCTTCGTGTAAGAACAAATGGAGCCCAGTTGTGGGATCATTGAGCAGCCTGCTAGCACCAATAACACCTAGGTAAAGTCCAATGACCAGGAAAAATGTCTCCAAACGAAGATCCATTCAGTGTTCCTGCTACGAATAAGTCCATGATGCTCCTGTCATTGTCGCAGCGTTGATGGACGTTTGAGCGTGTCCTCTAGTAGGTAGTGGCTCTCTCCGGGTAACTTCCCCACGACGGTTCCAGAGGTCGACTTTCTAGTGCAGTCTCGTGCCCCGTCATTCCACGACATCATCGACCAGATACATCACCTCTTTACCCACCACTGGACTTTGAAAAGCGCTGTCACGTCATTTGGAAATTGATGCAAAGCCGAATGCTGTTCCGGCGATTGAAGCGAACTGGGTGGATGTGGACTATGGGCTGAAGACGATCGTACTTGCTGTGTGGAGCTTGGCATTCATCGGATGAGTCATAACAGATCTTGCGTAGATCCTGGGTGTATATCTATTGTGTGCCACGTTCTGGGTGATTGAAGTCGATGTCGCGAGTGTGGTGTGCACAGTGGTCGACGTGGTAAGAGCCTGGAGCTCCCAGAAGTACATGAAGGTGGTAGCAGCTCCAGCAACTGCGCTACGTTTCCTTGTTCAGTTATTTCCTATCGTGCTCCATGAAATTGACAGCAGTACAAATGGATTGCAGATAACTTTTCCGGAACACGGCGACTCCACTGGGAACTATTGCGTGTCTTGCAGCTCCGCTCGTGTGTGTCATTCAGAGTCATGTGCCGAGACCACTCCTGTTCTTCTGATTAACATACCACTTGCCTTTCGGATGGCTTCTCAAGACGACGCTAACGCTGCTGGACATCTTTGAGCTGTGCTGGAATCTCCGGTGCAGCAATTGGCAAGCGTCACAAAGAGCACGAAGACCTTCCTTGGCGCCTTTGGTGAACTGTTTCCAGTATTGTCGACGCTCAGCAGCCTCGCGCAGGCGACGCTGCCAATTATTCTGATGTGGATGGCCGACACCATTGGAGAACGTGCTATCGATTACATGACCAGAAACTAATGTTTCACTGGCAACCAAAGTGATAGAAGACAAACACAAAACATCATTTTTCAACCATATATCCGCGAGAGATTAATGCGCGTTGCCTGGGCGATAGATTCTGATGGGATCAATGGTTCACTGTACAGAACTAGTCAGTGAACTAAAGATGAGCATGAACATCGCCTGATGTCTTGTTGAAATCCAGAAACGCTTGTAGCTCCGATATCGCTGTCACAGCATCATCTCCAAGCCTGGCACGACGAGAACTAATAATTGCACCCGACGCAGAGAATGCCTCTTCACTTGGGACTGATGTTGCCATAATTGCCAAATAATCGCGCGCCATCATCTGAATCCGCGGAAATGAAGCGGCTTCATTCTTCATCCAGGTTGCAAACAGCTCGGACTTCCTGTCTTCAGGGTTCATGGATCTGTCCTTTGTGTTCCAACCACCGCTGTAGCTCAGACACGAACGACTCATTTGGTGTTG